TTTATATCATGTGTAATACTAAATGATATGTAGTATCAGTTAGTGATTTTTCAACTGTATAAAGCAGATTAATTATTGATGCTTGAAAATATTATGAAATAGTAAACTTCTGTCTGAGGATGGGAAAGATTGGATATATTGGATATGAACCTTGCTTCTTGATTTTGGTGGATGCATAAATAATGTCACATGCTGCAGAGCCAAAAAAAAATATGCATTCGCACATCTCTAGTTCCATTACACGACGTGTACTTATGAAAAACCTAATAATTGTCAAAACATAAAAAGAATATCTAACCAATTTTAGCATTATCTAATTCCCAAAGGGTCTATAGAATTTAAAATTGTCTTGACCATTACAAATGGTTAAATTGGTTTTGAAAAATTTAAATCTGAACCTAGGGAAGATATCTATTTGTAATGTTCAAAGATAATTTCAAATTTTCTAAATTTTTGGAATTTAAAATGTGCTTGAATTATGAGATTGCCAGGATAGTAGATATCTTAATTTTTGAAAAAATTTAGGTAATTATTAGACTTCGGGTTCGTACGGGTTATGTAGTTATTTGACGAAGGATCGACAAAACCAGACATATGTTGTTTTATGCATTTAACATAATAATCTGGTTTGTCATAGCACTTAGTTATTCTTAAATACCAGTTCCTGAAATGTAATCCAAAATTTTCTATTTAAAAGTACAAATGGCTGGTTAATAGGTTATTATTTATCGCATCGTTTAGTAACCACAATCGGTAGGCTAATGATAGTAACCGACCAACAATGTATAGCAATGAATGATTATGATTAACCACTGCCATTTCTATTCAGGTGTACAATTGGTAAAATAAATTTATACAGTGTTTATTTATATATTTATAAAATTAAATACACTAAACTCCACATTACAATCCATAAACTTAAAGCTACACTCACTAACCCATCACTACGGCTATTAAGTAAACCATAATGGTCCCAAACCTGAAAATGTGCCTTCAAAACCTCCGATTACTATTATCAAAAATTATAAATCTACAGCTGATGTTTGTTCAGATTATTCAAACTGTAAAACAGAGTATGTTCAAATTCAACTCTTCATTATATGACAATTAAGATCAATTTTTAAAAAAATTTAAATTTATAACCTTTGTTTGTTTCTCTTTAAAGCACCAAACAAGATAGTGGTAAAACCGTAACTTCAGAAGATCATAACAGTCATATCACGACTATCATACCATCTGGCTACGATAGCGCAACAATAACTGCATTCGTAACTAAAGTAGTCACGGTAACCGTTACAGTATATGTTCCAGGCTATACAACTACACTTACTGAGAACGGAATACCCTATGAAACTTACTATCCACCAAG